TGGACTGACAGTTTTCCCTTCTCGGGAATAGTGCCGGTTTTAGTCCGCCGGGATCCGAACTTCCTTTGTCGATGCGTGATGTGGTCAGTCTCAGTAGGGCTGGTGTGTTGAAAAGTCCGCCGCAGTCCGAACTTCGCGGATTGCTGGCCTCCGGCTTCTGTGAGTTGTGGTGGTTTTCCTTTGCGAAGTGCGGGGGTGATAAGCTCGGATGTTGCAGTCATTTTGTTTTCCAGTCGCACAACTGCACCTGGGTGCACATGACCACACGAGATCAGGGTCCTGTGGTCGGAGAGGTCCTGCTTGATTGTTGCGTCTGTACGAATGTATGGTTCTCATTTTTCGTTTTGTCTTTCTTCTGTTGTACAGGGGTAGTGTCGTCTCGAACACGGAGGTCCTCCAAATATCCAGAGCACATATTGCAGAAAGTCCCCGGGTTGAGTAAAAAACACAAGGATATGTTAAATGCATCAGGGGTTGATGTCGAGATCAGGAAGGAGTACACCGTTGCCATTGAGGAATGTCTTACCCTTCTTGCCCCAGAGAAAGGGACATATCCACGATCTGTGAGTAGGGGTCAGGCCATGTATGAGAAGTACTTAGCAACGCGTCATGCACCGGGGGACAATGTCTAGAACTCCGTTTCTCACTACCCCACGTGTCCTTTGCTCGATGTTGTGCAGTGCGGGCAACAAGTGCAGCACGCGGGAAAAGTTTCGTTGCGACGATTGCGCCTCTGAGCTTGCGGGTTTTGGATGACATTGTACGAGGCTCGGTGCCGTCTAACACTATTTTCTCTATACTGGGCGATGGTCAATTTTGGATTGCAGCAAAAGATCTCCTCACCCTCTTGCATGTCAACGACAGGGTGAATGATGAGGTGGTCAATTTCTATATGGCGTTGTTGGGGTCGACCGCATGTGGGTCACGTGACATCTCTTCAAGCCTTCAAGTCTTCAGCTTTAATTCGTTCCTCTTCAGTAAACTGCGACTTCAAGGACACTGTGGGGTGCAGAGGTGGGCTAAAAACGTAGATTTGCTTCGTTACGATATTATCTTCGTTCCTGTCCACAAAGATGATGATCACTGTATCCTCGTTTTCGTCAACATGAGAGATGATGTTTTCAAAAATTTTGATTCTTTTCCTCGCATTGTAGCTGATTCTAGTTTTTACCTTAGTGTTTTCGGGTTGATTGTGCAGTATTTGGAATGTCAAACATCACATAGGGGGTCGGGTAGGAATTGGAAGTCCATGGTGGGAAATGTCGTGGTGGATGGAGTTCCGAGACAAGTGGATGGAGCAAGCTGTGGTGTGTTCATGTTGATGTATGCGACGTTGTTGCAACATGGAGATCGACCGCCTTTCCGGTTCTCTTGTAAAGATATTCTGCTTCTTAGACGACAATTAGCATCATGTGTCTTAGAACATCATTATCTTTGATGGATTTGATTAAACTTCGAAACTTTTTTTTAAGGTGTTTCATTCGTTGATCGTTAAATTTCATAAATCGAGACATTATTCAACTGTCCTTTTGCAAGAGGCATTGCTTTCTTTTATCGTTCCGAGTTCACGCTATCTACGGCAAGCTCAATGCATGTCCTGCGTCATGTATGGGCTTTGTAATCTATGTCACGTAATGTTCCATGTTCCGAATTGTGTTCAAGTTGAAGTATTGTGTTCCATGTTTCAAATTCTATTCAACTGGAAGTGTAAAGATGATTGTGAAACTGGTTGGTGGAGGAATGAGAAATCTCATCTTATGTGAAATTGGTCAGTGGATGCTTAAACCTTCTTTGCATGACCATTTAAAATGCGGATATTCATCGTGATGGAGCACAATTTAATTTAATTCAATCTAATTACATTGCTAATTTTGTTTATAAAAGTTCAACAACTATGGATGTCAGCAAACTTTCGCATTTGGGGCGACTGGGCGGGCATGCCCATGTACAAACACTGCAGTCAAAAATGAATTCGTAAGAAAGAGGACCGAGTCACAATATAGTTACTGTATCTTTCATCACATTTATGAAATTGAAGTTTGACAAGTTAGGATCACGACACACTTCTGCACAGGGTTCACTTTGGCGTGCTAATCGTTGTTCGTTTATGAAGTTTGACTAGTATGGATCCCAACACACTTCCACATTTGGGATTTTATTTATGAAGTTTCACAAGTATGGATCTCAGCACGCTTCTGCATGTGGTTAACCCCTAGATGGGCATGCCTACGTTGCTTAGGCTGCAGCTAAAAATTAATTCGTTAGAAAGAGGACACAGTATAATGTCCTATTTTAACGAATAACGTGTTAAAGTTAATCCAAAAAGTATTGTCGGACTTCCCACCGTGCTACGGTCCTTCGTTTAGAGCAAAAAGGCTTTGGCACGCTTCACGTATCTCGCTTGCGTATTAAGTCACGACGTCGCTTGCTTGTCAGTTCCGAGTCCGATGTGGAGGGTCTAAGTCGTGTGACTCTTTCTCTATGTTTATCGGGGTTCCGTACACGATAGTGGAAACCCTTGGATTCGTAGCGCTCGAAATGCTGACACTCAGTGCACAGAGTGCGAGGCTAGTGCGCTTCCACCGTTGTCCACGGAATGACGATCAGCTCGTTAGAGGGCAAAAATATGGAGTAAGGCGGAAAGTGAGTATCGATAATGACAAATCCAGCATCCACGAATCCTGAGCAACGATTTTCAGGAGGGAAGTAATATCATCCGCCGATCCGTGCGACAACTTTTCGTACGTGCCACTCGCATACACGTGTCCTCTCTTCGTCGTAAGGAAAAGATCGTGCCGGCGCGGGAGATACGGGAGGCTGGCGCCCGATCGAAGGGCGTTCGTAAGTCCACATGTCAATCAATTGCAAAAATCCCGAGACGTCATCAAGGAAAAACACCCGCACAACCACCAATCAATTCTTTTCGACACAAGAGAGAGAGAGACCACTTATCGGTTTGATCATGCACTGAACCGAGGGACCGACCCGCGACTCAGGTTTAGTAAGCCGATGCGGCGTTGATCCGAGGCGCCTTGTTATTTCGAGGCTGCCCTGTAGATCGGTTGCAGATGTCGTGCAACATAAGGCAGATGGCATGCGCAGTGCATTCAGAACCACAGATCTAAACACTCTTGCATTCTCGAACAAAATCCCGTCGGGCGCTGAGTCGAATCAACGCAAAAAGACAAGCATCTACATACAGACATTCACTGTGGAAGGTGCGAAAATGACACGGGTGCATAGGTCAGAAATCAACCGAGGGAATTGTACACACGCATCCACCATTCACAAGACAAGAGGATCAATTCCTCGACATCTGGGATTACCCAGGAAACTAATGGAAGAGTTACGGAAGAATTTCCTTCGCACAGGAAAACACACAGATTCATTCTCATTCACAGGAAGGACAAACTCATGACACAATGTCATTCAACTCGGAGAAAGAGGAGAGAGAGAGATGTCGAGATAGGAGGTACGGAGATCCGAATGAGGACATTCGGCGTTGCAGCAGTGCACTCACACCAAAAGATAAAAATCCGCAATCAACAAAGGCGCTTCTGCAGTGAATTTCCAGTATGGCCTCGGGCCAATCACTCACTTAACTCCAATCACCGATCCTTATACCCACACCGACGATCCAGGCCGTCGCGTGCTAACTTCCGCCGCTGAGATCCTCACCCCGGCGACGCAAGCTCGACGCAGTTCGCCCAGATCCCACAGTCCGTCGTGGCGATCAAGTGCGCAACCGGCCAGCCTATCGTCAGCCCGACAGGACTTTTCGACTCGCACCAGACACTTCACCTAGCCACTGCTTCCCGGAAGTGGGCTTGGGAGTCGAGAACGTAAGAGAGTTTTGCGGACGCGCTTGCGAAATTTATAGTTGCGAGAAGGAGGATAAGGGAGGGAGAAGGCAGGGAGAAAGTCGAGCTGTAAGAGAAGAAGCAGGAGGAGAAGACTTAGCGGGGAGCGCGTTGCGAAAGCCATGTTGATCCTTCAGAACCCAATGGTCGGCCAATCAGATTCGTCGCGCAATAGGAAGATCCTCTTGTTCAACGCATCTGATTGGTGAGCAGGGGTGATCGAAGGATCAACCGGGCTTCGTGAGTCAAGGTTGATGAGCGGGAAGAGACGAAGCACGAAAAGCAGCACGAGACGGGTCCAAAATTCAGACGATCAAGAAAGGGAAGCAGGCGAGCAAAAAGCAGAGAGGGAAAAACAGTTGTGATAGGAGAAGGAGAAGCGCCTGAAATCAAGAAAAGCGACGAGGGTTC